AGGAACAAGAGCAGTCAAAGGTGAAGATGGAGGAACTGAATAAGAGTGTGCTCACTCTAGATGCTGATGTGAAGGAACTGGTCACGAGCTCAGAACAGGGGAGACAGCCCACTGTGAAGGACATAGTGTCTCAAATCAGCAAGAAGCTGGAGGATCTTGCTGTTGATGATGACCAGAGCATTGCTTCTTAACCTACCTTTCTCTGCAGCCTTTTTATGTTGATGAAACTTATATTATCTGCTTTTGGGAACAATTTTTATTTCGGTCTGTAATATTTTGGGCACTTTTTAATTTCTTTTGGCAAACTTGCAAATTTGGTACATTTGGCCGATGTTTTAAATCGGTTTTGGATGATTATAATCTATGTTTCTTTTGCCTATATGCTTTGTGAATATTTTCTCTCTATGCATGCTTCTTGTCTTAACACTAAACCACTAGTTGGTGCTGTGTTATGGTATACTATACGTGTGTGTGTTAGTTTTTGATAATGCCAAAAGGGGGAAAAGGATGCAAACTATCAAGGAAACTTAATCATTCTATGGTCTCTGTTCGAAATCTTCACAAGCAGCCTAATCTCTACAAGCAGGTATAATGTATATACAAGTTTTTTCAAGTTTTTCAGTTTTTCCATAAGTTATTCATTTATGCATTGTTTACTTCCTTAAACATTAGTTTCCATTCTGCATTGTATTTTGTTTTTGCATTTCCTTTCTTTAGGAATAAAATGGATTATCTCTGTTTCCTTGTAAGTAAGTTTGGTTTGTTTGTCATCATAAAAAAGGGGGAATATTGTTGGAATTAATGATTTTGATGATGACACAACCTCACTTACTTACAAACTAATAAGTGCTTGATTGTTTAAGTGTGTACTCAGTTACAAAGACTAGGAGAATGAAGTGTCTTGTAAAAATACCATGAGGAACAAGAAGGCCATAAGAAGAGCTAGCCATATAGAAGAGTTCCCTCTCAGGAATTGGCGCTTCAGAAATGAAGACATGACTGAATTATTAGATGCCCTTGTTATCACCTATCCATTCGAGATTGTTTGACCATGTAGGTTAGGTTTAACACTACTCTCTCCGTTTTTAAATACCTGCTCCATTTTTTTGGGCACGTATGCCGATATTAATCTTTGATCAATAATATCATTAATTATCAATAAGTATAAATTCTAACAATTGAAAATTAATAATCTATTTATTGAGATGATTTTAACAAGCATCCACAAGACTATATTTTTTTTTATGTATAAATTACAAACTTTAATCAAAGTAACACAAATAAATAGTGCAAAAAAATAGAAATAAAGCAATTATTTAAAAACGGAGGGAGTATTCTACAAAATGGTCTAACTGAATTTGTGCCGATGCATATACCACTGTTAGAGGAGAACTGCTCTGATACCATGTTAAACTGCAGATTTGGGAGAAAATCATTACGATACCCGGGGAACAGTATCAGGAATACCACAAGTGATTGGAATGACTGATTTTAAGCTTGGCACCAACGGATTCCTTGTTGACGACCAAGTTACCTTTGGAGCAGAGGTTTTCATTACAAGCAATGAACCTACATTCTCAAAGTTATCGATGATTAAATTTATTTCCAAACGCACTTTTCCTCTTATCAAATTTAAAAAATTGTCTACTAGCGATTTCTCTAAACCAATGGTGTCTGATCCCTTCAAGACTACCTTGAATAAAGAATCATACACTTGGTGCGTATGAATTTTCGATCTCTACTCTATCCATATACTTTTATCAATAGATCAACTAATAATACATAATACGTGTATTAATTAATGTGCACGCAGGAAACTAGAGCTACATCGAACAGGATATGGATCATCGGATGATACCTTTTGGTCCCTTTTTCTTGTGCTTGTCGACACAGACAGGGTTTCCAACGGAAGGCAAATGCTTGTTAGTTATGAGCTCAGCTTGTTAAACAAAAGAGGCGGTTCATACGAAAATGCTGCATCAGGTAATTGCATTTCGTGTATACATTTATTGGCGGAGCTAAAAAAGTTTTTGTTAGGGGGCCAAACTGAATTTGTACTCATATCCCATACGCGAAAAATATTCGATGGCTTTGTTTGGCAAATGATTGTTCGCGGTTAGCTGTTGGCTGGTTCACTTGACTTTTTTGACCAGCTGAAATGTTTGGCTGTTTATAATGACTTTTGAAATTGACTGTTTATAAAAGTGTTTGGTAAATTAATTGTTGGTTGTTGGCTATTTATTAGATAATTTGTGGGCCAACAAGCTAAAAGCCAACAAAAAAAGCTACTCAAATCAGTTTTTTTTTTTTTTTTTTTTTGCTTAAAAGCAGCTTTTTCGCTAACTAAAAAACCAATTACCAAACACATTTTTTGGCTATTTGACCACATAAAAAAGCCAAAATCCAAAAACTAACCCAAAAACCATCAAAAAGTTATTTACCAAACATGGCCGATATATAACAATTAAACCAACTGTCCTACAACTTGACACATGTAATTTGTTGCTACTTTATATAAATGTATACCGTAAGAAGAGGTCATGGCCCACACTAACCCTGCCTTGACTTCGACACTGCATTAGTATGACTTGTTTGTTGTCTTAGGGGAGAAAGAACGGAGGGAGTACATGTGAATAATAATAATAATAATAATAATAATAATAATAATAATAATGTACACAATATATATAAATACACACACATAGTATATGAGTAGATCAATGTAAGACAATACTAATAATAATACTCCCTCCATCCTTTTATTAGAATCCCACTTTTAACATTTGTTACTCATATAATAAAGTGAAGTGAGAATCTAATAAAAGGACAGAGGAAATATAATAATAATATAAAAAATAAAAAATAAAAAAAGCTCGATGGGAGTATATTATAATTAATTCAACAAGATATTACGGTATTTAACACTACATATATTTGTTACAGAAATGGACTGGATCAGTGGCTCAAAGCTTTCATTGGGTTTTTCCGACTTCATCGATGGATCTGATGTTTTTACTTCGCCATTTAACTTTGCCGGAGGAGATAGTTTAGACGTGAAAGTGCAATTTAATTCCATCTTCTTGGTCGGCGGTTACGATAATAATTAAAATGCTTCAAAAAATCATCCTCTACATTGATTCATATTAAGCATTACACTTTACACCTACATGATTGCTAATTAAACTATTACCGTTTTCTTTATTTCAATTATATTGATAAAAATAAAGGGCAATAATGCTTGCCTTATCAGTTTGTAATTTCATTATTGACGTAATTTGTAATTTCTATTCCTTCTTCGGTTGTTGTATCAGTTGATCATTTGTTAATTAAATGAAGGCTTTCCCTAGTTGCTGGTATGAATATATTTTTAGTATAGAGAGAACACTGTTGAATTTTTGCACAATAATGAAGACTAATTCAGCTGAATTTTACCTGGGAAACAACTAAATAGCTTTGAGAGATTTTTATTAATTAATTTGTAAAAGTAAAAATGAATTAAGGGCATTACAAAATAATACAATTATACAAATATACAAGTCAGCCCTATTAATAAGCCTTATAAACAGATTTTTGTTTATCAAGAGTATCATGGTAGGACCAAGCTATAGCGCTGCAACAAATTAATTTAAAAGACAAACATTTAAAAAAATTCAGATGTACAATAATTGCTTTAAAGTTGTCTTAAAATGATAAAAAAAATTACCCTAGAATGAATGAAAGTTATTCAATATATAAGTTATCCTGATATGAATAAAAGTTATTTAAGCTTTATGAATAAAATTCACGGATTTTTCACCAAATGCCTCCTAATTATTCCGTAATTTTTTTATTCACCATGTACCCAAGAAAATTTTCAAATTCACCATATATCCCGAAGTTTTACAAAATTATCACCAGATGCCCAAAATGACTAATGACAGTTAGTTTCGTTTGTCATTAGGGTTAATATGAGAGAAGAAGTTGATGGTGTTAGTGAAAAAATGGGAAAAGTTTTCTAAGGTTGGAGGAAGAGTACGACTGTACGAACATTTTCAGTTAAAAAAAATGAGTAAAGTGAGAGTCGTGCGTATAACATTAGTAACTAACCTTAATAAAGCCCACACAATTAATAAGGTCAACAAAGCTTGACTAGCTATTTGTAACTAGCCTTTTTTATGTCCATTACTAATGATTTTTCAATCTATTTTTGACCTACTATTTGTAACCGACCTTGGTTATGTTAGTTACTAATGCTAATTTATTTGTAACTTGCACTAGTTATGTCAGTTACTAATACTTTTTTAATAACTAACGTAATTTATGTCAGTTACTAGTAGGGCTAAATAGCATTTTTTTTACTAGTGAATTACGCCAAGTGGCAGCATCTGATTGGTTTTTTTTAAAAAAGTTATTTAAATAATTATGAAAAAAAAAATTAAAAAAAAAAAAAACAACTCAAACCAAACCAGCCTGTCACCTTATGCCGCCCAACCCCCTAAGCCTAGCCACCTCCCCACAACCGCCAACAAGCCAGCCTCCTCACTGCACCAGCGCCGCCCCTTCCCCCACGTGCCAATCACTACTAGAATTCGGTTAAATAGCGACTGTTTTCCTATGAACGTAAAAAAGCGGTCGCAAAATATGAAATTTGCGACCGATTATGATGTGGTCGCAATTTTACGACTATTTTGAAGGCGATCGCATATTTGCGACCGTTTTTGACCTTTTAAATGGTCGCAAGGATGTTTCAACAACTTAAAATAATTAATTCAAAATTTAAAAAATGTTTTTGCGACAGCTAAAAACGGTCGTAAATAGCGATCGTTTATGAAATAGTCGCAATTTTGAGACCGCTTATGAAATAGTAGAAGGGTTTTATTATTTAAAAAAAAAAATATAAATGGATAACCCATTCACCCAAACCCTAATTTTTTCTTCTCACTCGCCGCTTATTTCTCCTCTTTCTTTTTTATTTCCTTTCTCTCTCTCTTCTTTTTCCCCTCCATCTCCTTCTCTTTCCTCTCTTACGCCTTTCCATCTCCTTTTCTTTCCTTTCTCTTTCCTTTCTCCTTCTTCTCTTTCCTTTTTTTTTCTTCCCACCTCTCTTGTTTGTTCTTTTCACCAACATTAATTCGCATCAGAATTCTCTTTATTCCCCATTTTCGTTCTCTTTTTCTTCAGAGTTTTGTCATAAAACAAAATTAGGTGTTCAGATTTTCGACAAAAAACGAATAATTATGGTGTTTTTGATCAAATTCGACCATTAAAATTCCAAACATAGAGTTTTCATGGTCGAATTTGACCATATGAACACAAAGAGGATGAATTATTTGATAAGGTATATATGCTGATTTTTCTAAAAATTTTGTTTATTTTTTATTTTTATGGTTTTATTTCATTTTTTGTTTGAATGTTTGTTTATATTCATACGAGTTTTCATTGTTGAATTTTTCGATTTTTGAGTTTTTCGATTTTTTAGTTTGATTTTTGTTGAAGTTCATATGAATTTATGTTTAATAGATTTTGGTTCATTATTTTTTGTTTAGACTTTTGTTGATGTTTAAATGATTTTTAGTTTGATTTTTGTGTTTGTTTTTTTCAATTTTTTGGTTTGATTTTTGTTGATGTTCATACAAAGTTTTTGTTTCTTTTTTTTTATTTAGTTGATGTTTATATGAAAATTTTGTGGTTTGTTTATAGTTGTACTGTGGGTTTAATATTTTATGGTGATTTTGTAAATTTTTGTTTGAATTTTGTTGTTTATGTTTATGGTTTATTTAATTTCGATTAATGGTACGATTTTGTGATTTTTTTTTATAATTGTGGGTCAAATTAATTTTTTTGGGGTATTTTATTGGGTACCGTAGGGTGGCGGTGGGTTGAGATTGTTTAGGGTGAACAGTGATGGTGGGAAAAGGTTGTTAAGGGGGCAGTGGGGCTAGGTGCATTGCAGAGGGGCTGGTAGCGTTTACTTTTAAAAAAAAAAAAACTAAATTAGTGATCGCCTATAACCATCGTTGATATTAATATTTACGACTGATACTACAACGGTCATAATTAAAATTATTTGCAACTGTATTAGAGCACTCTCAATGGTGAGAGTTTTTTATGCTCATGAGCATTTTTATGGTGTAAAAAAAATACTCACTAGTCACAATGGTGAGGAAAATCAAAATGGGAAAGAAATGCGCATGAGCATTTATCAAAAAGCTCAAAACTTGAGCTTTTTTTCAGATGAACAGTAGTAGAGGTGGGCCCCACACGCGTCAGACCCACTTAAAAAATTCTGCTGCCTTCCCCATCAAAACGACGCGTTTTGATGAAGCTTCCTCAAAGGCAATCCTCAAAACGCGTCGTTTTGAGTAGCCAAAAAAAAAAAAAAAAAATAAAGGCGGCTGACGCGTGCAGGAGGTTGGCGAATGGGGATGAGACGCGTGGCAGGTGTGCAGCAGTAGCCAATCAGGTTGAACTAGCCGTTTTACAACGGTTAGTTTTGTATTTTGTAATTTCTGAAAAAAATATTTTGTAAAAAAAAAAAAAAAAAAATACCAACGGCCATAAAATTAAATTCTCTATAAATAGACATGCATTTTGATATAATTTCGTAAACACTTAAAAATCCTCCAAAATTTTATTTTCTTAAAAGTATTTGAAATTTGTAGAAGAATATTGTTGTTGCAATTAATCCATATTGAGGTAAAAAAAAAAAAATAATTTTTATTATCAGTTTTACAATATAAGTAGTATATATGTGATTTTTTTAAAAAAAAAATAAAATTGTAGGCCATGTAATTTTTTGCAATATGTAATTATTAACAAAGTTGTTTATATTTTGTCCATAAATTTCTATATTTGTAGTTATTAAAGTGTTGTTGCAATTAATGGTAAATTTTTGTTGCTATATATAAACGTATTTTAGTATTTACTTAATAAAATTAGTATATATGTAAGTTTATGGAAAACAAAAATTGAAGGCCACGAAATGAAATTGCAATTATTGGCTAATTTTTGTTGCTATATATAAATGTAGTTACATAATAAAATTAATATATGTTTGGTTTTAATATGTACATGTAGTTATGTGTTAAAATTAGTATATATGTTATTTTGTGGAGAAAAATTAAATATTGTATGGCATGTAATGTATATATGTTATTTTTGTTATTATATGTTATTTTTGTTGCTATAAAGTTGTTGATATTTTTGTTATTTTTGTTATCAAATTAATTTGTTTAATAAGTAGTATATATGTTATTTTTGTTGCTATAAAGTTGTTGATATTTTTGTTATTTTTGTTATCAAATTAATTTGTTTAATAAGTAGTATATATGTTATTTTTGTTGCTATAAAGTTGTTGATATTTTTGTTATTTTTGTTATCAAATTAATTTGTTTAATAAGTAGTACATATGTGATTTTTTGATGCAGAATCTTTGAATGGATCCAAACAACCCAAATTTCCGTCAACAATTTTCGGGTTATAGTGATGATTTCCTAACTAATCCCGAGTTTCAATTGTTCTTGCAAAGAATGGGCAATATGTCGTCGCAACCACCTCCACTGCATCAGACATCCACTGAGGTTCCCCTACAAAACCTTGCGAATGAAGATCGTACACCTGAAACTGATCTTGGTAGTAACACAATGTTCGATGAGAGCGAAGAGGAAAGCGTACCAGAGACGCCGCAGTATCCTCCTCCACCAGTTCGCTTGTTGGAACCCAACCAGGTTCCTGCACGAGCTACCCGTGTTTGGTCTGTGGCGGAAGATGAAGCTCTAATTGGGTTGTACTTGCAGATTAGCGAGGATGCTATTAAAAGTACAAGCCAAAAAGCAACTACCCTATGGCGCAATGTACACGAAGCATACCAAACTTTGCATACGCAGAAGCCGCATATAATTCCGCCAAGGCCTATTAAGAGTCTGACGTCGCATTGGAGAAGGTTGGTAGCGGACACACTGCAATGGATATCTTGCTATGATGAAGCAGGTAGACTTCCGGAGGGAGGGAGTGGTTACAATGAAGCTGATCGTATGAAAAGTGCGGCGAAGCTTTTTCATGTCGCCCAAGGTCGCAATTTCACTTTTCCTCACGCGGTTGAAATGCTTAACAAGGACCCAAAGTGGAGACCAAAGCTAAGATGGTCAATGTCCTTGAAGGAAAGAAAAGCCGCTTGTGATGCTGAGGAAGAAGGTAGTGCTGGAAGTGGGAAGAGGTCCAGAGGTGATGTAGAGGCGGATACCCCTACAGATGGTTTTTCATCTGGCGGTTTACAGCGACCCGAGGGTGTCAAGAAGGCAAAGGCGAAGCGTATAGGGAAAGCAGTACCAACAGAAAGTGGTTCGTCTGAGCTTAGCGAACGAATGAAGGAATTCGCTTTAGTTCGCGAGAGGGAAGCCATACTGAAAGGAGAGAGGATCAAAATTGAAAAAGACAAGGAACAGAGGAAAAGGGAGGAACTTGACTTTCATAAGATGAAAACCTGGTTTGATATGTTGCAAGTTCTGAAGAATTCTCCTACGCCACTCACATCTGAAGAAGAGTCGTACAAGAATTTTTTACTGGGTAAATTACAAGGCCTTTAAGCATGATTGGTTGTAGTCTTTTATTTGTTAAGCGTAATTTAGTCTTTTATTTTGAAGTTGTATTAGTGGTGTGGTTGATCTCAATGTAAGATGTACACTTGTATTCTGATTTTCCAATATTGAATGACAAGTTGTTTAACAAGTTGATTTAAGTTTCCAGTCATACCGACATAATTGCTTTAAATCTTTGTCACTGTACAGCCACGTTTTCCTATATTCACTTTATCAGAATGCTTTACCTTTGTGTCATTGATACCGACATTATTGCACTCAAGACTTGTCACTGTCAACTAGCATAGTATACCTATTCCGTGGTTGAAAATTTGATTCCTTTACTTGGTGTGGTCATTCAGATTTGTAACCACATATTCATTTGATATTTTTGCTATATATAGTAGGCATGGCACATATCCACAACCACACCCCTTCATCAAGTAACAATAGTAATACGAGATGTATTCTAGACCATCATCAAGCTCAAGTTCAAGATCATCTTCTTCAAATACTGAAGAATATGACCAACTTGTTGATGAACTCTTCACATACCAACCCCCATCTGTCCTCATGGCCCAAACACAATCCCAACACTCTTCAAAAAAACCTAGAGGGGGTACGAATAGAAGAGATAGGGAAATCGGACATGCCAGGTTGTTTAATGATTACTTTTCCGATAATCCTGTGTACAACACCACCCAATTTAGAAGAAGATTTCGTATGCAACGACCTTTGTTTGTACGTATAATGAACAAGGTCGTTGAAGGTGATGTGTACTTCCAGCAGCGTAGGGATGCAGCTGGAAGGTTAGGTTTATCACCTCTGCAAAAATGTACAGCAGCGATAAGAATGTTAGGCTATGGCATGGATGCGGACGCCGTGGATGAATACGTTCGGATCAGTGAGTCAACCGCTCGAGTTGCCCTTCAACGTTTTTGTACCGGTGTCATTGAGCAGTTCGGAACCGAGTACATGCGAAACCCTACAGCTGATGAATTGGCTAGAATACTGCATCAAAATGAACTGCGTGGTTTTCCGGGCATGATAGGCAGCATTGATTGCATGCATTGGGAATGGAAGAACTGTCCAACGGCATGGAAAGCGCAGTACGCCGGTAGGAACAAGAAAGCAACGCTAATACTGGAAGCCGTTGCAGATCAGGATTTATGGATATGGCATTCCTTCTTTGGGATTCCTGGATTTTGTAATGACCTAAATGTCTTATACCGTTCCCCAGTGTTCGATGAGGTTCTGCATGGTCGAGCTCCTCCGGTAAATTTTACCGTTAACGGCCATGAATACAACATGGCATATTACTTAGCCGACGGTATTTATCCGAAGTGGGCAACTTTTGTTCAGGGTATCACAACCCCTCAACTTCAAAAAGATAAATTGTTCGCTGACCACCAGGCTGCTGCTCGAAAGGACGTTGAAAGAGCATTCGGTGTTTTGCAAGCTCGATTTGCAATAATACGAAAACCGTCACTGGCGTACGATGAGGACATACTGCGAGACATAATGAAAGCATGTATCATTATGCACAACATGATTGTTGAAGATGAGCGCCACAACTACACTCGAGCCGAAGTTCTAAGAGCCTTCTACGATGAAGATCAACAAGAATCAACACCAGCATCAACATCTACAACGCCACCGTTTGAATTCAACGTAGGCCGACCTACCAACTTTGACTTCAACGCATTTCTACAGCGAAAAGCTTCCCTCCGTGACAGAGAAATTCATCTATCTCTGAAACGTGATTTAGTCGAACATATTTGGCAACGATACGGGCCACGTAATTAGGGAGAAATTAGACGACTTAAATAAAGCCAAGTACTATGGCGTAGCTACTTTTCCGTACGCAGTCGAGTTATTTTTTAGTTGTTGTGTTTATTTTATTTCCTAAGTTTAAATACGCATGACATTGCAAATGTAATTGTTCTCTAGTATTGTACCGCTTTTAAAATAAATAAAAACATTTAAAAAATTATGAGCTTTTTTTTACAATTTTTTTATATAACGTACTTAATTTTACGACAAATTTTAACGATAAAAAAGACAAAAATAAAAAAAATAAGTTACACAAATTTGAATTAGTTTTTTTTTTTATTTGGAGTAACATTGTTAAAATATAAATGAAATAAATAAATAAATAAAGAAGTGTTGTGTAGGAGAGAGAAAGTAATGGTGGGGTATTGAAAAAGTAAGAGAGAGATAGTGTTGGGTGAGCATTTTTTTTGCTCACCATTGGGAGAGGAAATGTAAAAAAAATTTGCCCATGAGCAAAATTGATTTGTTGAGAGAGAAAGTGGGTAGAGAGAGAGTGGGTGAGCATTTTTTTTGCTCACCATTGAGAGTGGTCTTAGTGCCGCTCGTTGAAAATAAAGGAAACGATTGCAAAAAATCTGCGACAGTCAGTCGGTCGTAATTTTGTCTTTTTGTGACCAAGTGAAAAACGACCACCACTTTATGACCGTTGACGCTTGCAATTAATTTCAACGACCGTTTTTGTTATTTTCAGTGACCCCGTTCGAGACGGTCGCAAAAATTCAAACCTTATGTTTGATTTTTGGGGTTTTTTTATTTTAGGATTCGTTATGGTGGTTCAAGGGGTGGAGATGGCAGGGGGAGGGTGATTTGGGTTTGCCGGTGTGGGGAGGGGGTTGGGACGCCGACGGTGGGTAGGAGAGGGTATTTTGAGGGAGAAAGGGAGTAATACCTTTTGATAACCAATTTTTGTAGGTCGTTTTAGGCGTAATTTTGATCATAAATTTAGCTAAGTTGAGAGTTCTCTCTCTAGTTTTAAGGTTTGTTTAGGAGTATATTTAGAGAGAGAAAGTGAGAGATTTCAATGGTGATTTGAGAAATTTAAGATACAAGGGTGACAATTGTGTTGAAGATCTTCTCTATTATCAATGAGCATTTCTAACTCTATCTCATCTTATTGTCTTGCATTGTTTAGATTCATGTTTGTTTGATTTGATTTGATTTGGATGTTTGATCTTGATTAGTGTAGTCGCTCTTTATATTTTTTTGATTTCTTAGTTGTTTGTTGTTAGATGATGACTCTTGAGTAGTTGTTTGGCTAGGGATTGGGTGAAACTTGTATGATTGATTGATTGTGTTTAATTTATTTGGGAATTATGTTGGTTGATTGTTGAGATTAAAGTTACAAATGTAAGCTTGCATGTGTGTAATTCGATTAGGCTTTGAAAATTATGCTAGATTGCATTATGATTTCTAATGATACGACCCATTGGTTTAGGAATTGCAATATTCGATTGGTTTGGATTGTGATTATCCTATTTTGTTATTCATAGAGACTATTAACTTAACGATTATTGATTCTCCTATTTTGTGATTCTCCTATTTTGTTATTCTCCTAGGCAGGCTGGTCTAGTCGATGGGTTGTGGGTTGAAGTCTCAACCCACCGGCTATTAGTCAAAAAGTTATAACTTATAAGCCATTAATTGATTATAAATGTGACCCACTACTTGCCTAATACAGAGTAGGTTTTAGTTCCTTGATTTCTTAAACCAACTTAGCCTGTTATTCGGACTCTTAATTTCAACTACCCTAAGGGGCTTAGGGGTTAACAAAAAAAAAAAAAAAAAAAAAAAAAAAAAAAAAATTGAAGTCATATTTGATCACTTTAGACAACTACTCTTCAATTAATTACGACAATGAAATGTCAATCCGGGGTGTTATAATTATTGTGTTACAGGATGTATGTACCACAGTGAAGTAGGGCTAATGAGCTTTGAACATCTAAAGAATAAAATGAAGGCAATGCCAAGAACAGATAGTGAAGGGGCAATGTGTGGAGCTAACTTTAAGGTGGACATCAACTCTAAGAATACTACTATGCCTCGTGTTGGAAGTGAAGCTAATTAGGCCCTTTGTGGTTCCCAAACTTTCACTTTAATAATCCCAACTATGGGTGATTTACCTACAATAATCCCAACTATCATTTATTCTACAATAATCCCAACTATTAGGTCAGTTTTCCTCCAGCAGTCCCAAACCGGTCAACAAAAGTCAACAACCTATTATTGTAGGTTGTTTGACACGTGTCAGTGTGTGAGTGGTTCCAAAAAAAAATTAAAAAAAAAAAAACAAAACAAAAAAAAAATCTGGAAGCCAACCCCAACCACCACCTCCACCTCCAGCCGCCTAACCCTAAAACACCACCTTCTCTAGCCACCCAAGTCGGAAATGACTCCCACGACCACCCGAAATCGGCCAAAACACCTAAATTGCACCAGTAGCACCCCCATAACCCTTGCCCGTGAAACCCTTGGCTTGAATCCGCGACAACCTCCCTTCATTCAATTCGTCAAGGCTCGAATCCGCGAGAATGACGTCGGTGAACGATGACCCAATCGGCGAGAATGAAGGCAGTGAACAAGGGCGATGTAAGCTATGGTGGGCTGGTGATTGCGGGCTTGCGGCGGAGGAGAGAGAATCCAACGGTGGTGCTGGTGCAGCTCTAGGTTAGTGGTTGCGCATTTGCGGCGAGGATGGACGGTTGTAGGCTTGTGGCCGGGGAAGGAGGATGGTTTTCCGATGAGGATAGGGAGGAGGGGACGGTGTCCCGGTGGTCGGATTTGGGAATGAAGGGGTGGCTGTGGTGGCTGAAGGGGGGAGGGGTGGTGAGGTTGATTTTTGTTTTTTTTTTAAAAAAAAAAATTTATTAAGCCAATCATGTGTCACTACTAAAATTCGGTCAAATTGCGACCGTTTTTTTACGACCGTCATTAAAATGGTCGTAAATTATAATATTTGCGACCGTTTTAAGGCGGTCGCAGATTTGCGACCGTTTTTAAGGCGGTCGCGGATTTGCGACCGTTTTTAGGCTATTTAACAGTCACAAAGGTATTTAAAAATTTCTTTAAAATAATATACATGTTAAAAATAATTCTAAATAAAAAAATTCTATTACGACAGCCAAAAACGGTCGCAATTTGCGACCGTTATAGAAACGGTCGCAATTTGCGACCATTTGCGACCTTTCTTAAGGCGTTCGCAGATTATAATATTTGCGACTGTTTATAAGGCGGTCGCAGATTATAACAATTTGCGTCCGTTTTAGCGGTCGTAATTGTTTATTTATTAATTTTTTAAATAGGGTATATAAGGGGCTTAAGCTTCCCAACC